CCCGCCGCCGCCGCCGCCCTCATCTCCTTCCCCGGGGGGCCCGGGGAGCTGGAACTGGCGTTAGAGGAGGAGCTGGCGCTGCTGGCGGCCGGGGAGCGGCCGTCCGACCCCGGCGAGCATCCTCAGGCCGAACCCGGGCCTCTGGCCGAGGGGGCCGGGCCGCAGCCGCCGCCCGCCCAGGACCCCGAGCTGCTGTCGGTAATCCGGCAGAAGGAGAAGGATCTGGTGTTGGCGGCCCGGCTGGGCAAGGCACTGCTCGAGCGGAACCAGGACATGAGCCGGCAGTACGAGCAGATGCACAAGGAGCTGACAGACAAGCTGGAGGTGAGGCCCGCCCTCTCGGGATGGGTGGCAAGCAGGGCAGCTCAGGCACCCGCCCGGCCTGGCCAGTTTGGGGAGCCACTCACCCTTCCCCGTCCAGCCCTCTTCCTTGCGCAGCCTACCTCGCAGATAATCTGGAACGAATGGGAGGTAGGAGGGAAGGTTTCGGATTATGAGATCAGGGCATTCATTGAGCCCACCTGACTTTCCCACTCTGCTCACAGCACATGGGTCCGTGCACAGCTCCAGCCGCTGTGGCCTTGCTATATATGTACTGTACCCAGCCCCTAAAATAGAGCTTACAGTATGACTAATTTATACAGCACTGAGATGATGCTGCACATAGAGAAATGAGAAAGTCGGGAAGCATTTAAAATATGCTCCAGGTTTTCAGAGAAGTAGTTAATCTCTAATCAGGGTGTTAGTCTAAAGCTTTCCAGTTTGGGCGTTAAGGCCTCTAGATGTCCTTGTCTTAACTTCCTGGCAGCTCAGAGTTGTGGGAAACAAGTGCCCCTAAAGGAGCTTTATATAGCTTTCAAATACTCAGGGATTAGGAAATGTGGTTCTATTGCAGAAATCAGGCGAGCCAGGGCTCAACATGTGACTGCTGGTAGTGGATTTAATTTTGGCCCCAGTATTTATGTGTATTTAAACAGTATTTTTCTATGTTCTGGGTCTCAGACTTGCAGTTGGATGGCCAAATTCAATCTATGAGAACCACGTTACTTTAACCTCCCTTAAAGTATCTGTAATATTTCTGTTTATTTTCTTACCCTTGACTAGAAAAGGGCCTTGAATACAGTATAGAATGCATTTGTTAAAATTAGAGAGGTCACACACACACACCAAGGCGGGAGGAGTCATCTGTGACAGTGGAGATGGTCTTATCCTTTTCTGCCTGTGCATTTACAGTTGTTACTTAGTTTGGTTGTGACCAATTCTTTTCATTCTTAGTTACAACAAGAGAATAGTACAGGCTTGAATGAGGTTTGAAATTGACCCTAATCATGTTCCATATCACTGTTACTGGTTGAACAGTCAGAATGCAGATTCAGAAACATTTCTGTAATAAGATTTAAGTGTGTCTGTAGTCCAACGACATAAAAGTAAATCGGGGGAATAAAAGAAACCAGTGAGTGCCCTGTAATTCAGTTGGCCTGTTAACTAGGTCTGCCAGGCGATGAACTCCTGAGATACCTCTCTGAAAAGTCATTTGTGAAACCTATGGGTAGACTGCCAAAAAGCAACCTAATGAATTGAATTGTTTAATTTTAACTTGAAGTGGATGTCTAGAAATAAAAAGGCGTCTTTTTTTCCCCTAAAGATATTCAATTACATGACTTTGTAAAGAAGCACTACAGCAGAGATTTATATTTGTGATTTGAAATTCCTTCAGTGAGGAACTTGATTGAAGAGACAGCAAACTTGAAAGAACATCATATCAGTTTAATTAGTGATAGATTTCATAGTAATCCTGAGTGTGCAGTTACACACATTCTGGGTTCCATGAGGAACCTTTATATGTTTCTTCAGCAAAGGAAACATTTTTCAAAATTCTATTATAACAAAAAGATCCTGGTGTAAAAGAATAAACCATATTTGACATTTTGTTATTGATTTGATGGGCAATAATAATAGCTTAAAACTCTTTAACAAGTTTTTAAATCTTCAGTCCTCAGTAGGTTAGCATATGAACTCTAGTTTTAAAAGTTTATTTTTAAGTTCTGGAAATTAGTTGCACAGCAGTATGAATGTCTTTAACACTACTGACACTTACACTTAAAAATGGTTAAGATGAGCCGGGCTTGGTGGCTCAGCCTGTAATCCCGCGACTTGGGAGGCTGAGGTGAGTGGATTGCCTGAGCCCACGGGTTCGAGACCCGCCTGGGCAACTTGGTGAGACCTCATCTCTACATTAAATAAAAAAATTAGCTGGGCGTGGTAGCGTGCGCCTGTAGTTCCAGCTACTTGGAAGGCTGAGGTGGAAGGATCGCCAGAGCCCCAGCAGGTCAAAGCTGCGGTGGCCAGGAGCAGCCACTGTACTCCAGACTGGGCGACAGAGTGAGATTCCAACTCAACCCCCCCAAAAAAAAAAAATGGTTAAGATGGACTGAGTGTGGTGGCTCAAGCCTGTAATCCCAGCGCTTTGGGAGACCGAAGTGAGGGAGTTGCCTGAGCCCACATGTTTGAGAACAGCCTGGGCAATTTGACAAGACCTCATCTATACAATAAAGCAAAATATTAGCTAGGCGTGGTAGCGTGTGCCTGGAGTTCCAGTTACTTGGAAGGCTGAGGTGGAAGGATCACCAGAGCCCAGCAGGTCGACGCTGTGGTAGCCTTGAGCATGCCACTGCACTCTAGCCTGGGCAATGGAGTGAGGCTCCATCTCAAAAAAAAAAAAAAAAAGAAAATGGTCAAGATGGTAAGTTGTATGTTCTATATGCTAGACTACAATTAAAAAATAATTTTAAAATTTGTTTAAAGTTTATTTTTTAAATGCCAAATATTGATCATTGTTAAAACTGAATGATGCAGAGGGTCAGTTATACTGTTTCTTCTAGATATGTTTGAAAATTGTCATTAAAAATTTTTAAGTTTTTTAAAATGTCCATTAAAATATCTTATAAAGTTGCTTGTTAATTCTTCTTGTCTTAATATGAGTTACAAACCTGATTTACAGGGGACTATTTCATTTGATACCTGAGATTGAGTTCCCCACTGTATATTTTTTGAGCAACCTAGGTTTTAGAATGTCTGTTTAGACAAAGTTCTATCTACAGTTTAACACAGCTGCTATATTTTCAGTTAAATTAAACATTTGGGAGTAGAGAACCAACCCTTACTTTAAGAAGCATTTGTTAATGAGAGAACTTGACCAGAAAAAGATAAAAAGCATTTATAATTTTCTGCAAATTGTCAGACATTGGAGTCAAACATTTTCTTACAAGTTGGTTTGAAAGTTAGACATGTGAGTGGACTCTGAGAGAAGACTGGTTTTATTTTAATCCCATCTGCTCCTTTACTGCTTCAAAATTGGCACCTTTCAAACTTCAGGACAAAGCCATTTTCAGAATCTTTTCTACCTATTCATTAGTTAATAGTGAATATGTTTTTGTTGTGTGCCAAACCCAAGATTTTGGTTTGCTATTTAAAATACAAAGTACTTGATCCTACATCACTCTGTCATGAGTGTTTAATGTCTTCAGTGGTTTATAGGTTTACATAGAAGTTTTTTAGCTATATATCTCTCAGAGTTAAAATGAAGATCCAGGTTAATTGGAAAAACTCTAAGGTTTTGACCATTTTTTTCACTCTTGAATTGACTGTACTGTATTTTATTACTCATTCACTGAATCAGATTTTCTGATAAAGTTCTGAGGCATTTAAAAAAATATTTATTTTGCATCTACAATTTTAGCCCTTTTGCTTTTAAGACTTACATCTAGCCAGGTCTACTTTTCCCCCCTGGAATAAGAATTAAGATAGTTACTTGCATTTATAGACTTTTTTCCTTCAGAGGTTAAATATTGTTAATATACAGGATTCCCATCCCCCTTTTTTCCCATCATAGCTGAGAGTAGATTATTTCTTACTACAGAGAATTTTCTCTTCCCTCATTTCTATTTTCTTCCCCCACTCCAATTCTTACGATTCTGGAACTATTTTTTAGGAGGGGGGATAAAAAAGGAGAGAGAGATGAAAATGAGTCATTAGAAAATTTAGGGAAGAAAACTTGGGTCTTGATTTGTATTTAGTACCTGTTCCTCTTAGAGAACAGTACTGTTTCTGTGTATTTTTTTAAGAACCGTGTCCTAGACTTATGAGAAAAGAATAACTTTTTTGGTTCTTTTTTTGCAGAAATCCATTTCTGTAAAGACCTATTTTATGTAGGCTATTAATACTAATTTTTTGGTTTTTGGAGTTTTTGTTTTTTGTTTTTTTTTTTTAGTTGGAGTCTCACTCTGTTGCCCAGACTGGAGTGCAGTGGCCACTCCCGGCCACCGCAGCCTTGACCCGCTGGTTTCCGGCGATCCTTCTGCCTCAGCCTTTTGAGTAGCCAGAATTACAGGCGCGCGCTACCCGGCTAATTTTTTGTTTTTATTGTAGAGATGAGGTCTCGCCTGCCCAGGCGGGTCTCGAATCCGCGGGCTCAGGCAAACCACTCACCTCAGCCTCCCAAAGGCGCGGGATTACAGGGTGAGCCACTGAGCCCAGCTGTTTTTAATTTTATTTAACTATTTTAATTAACTTATTTGGAGACAGGACCTCTGTTGCCCAGGCAAGAGTGTGGTGGCACATAGCTCACTGCAGCCTTGAATTCCTGGACTCCAGTGATCCTCCTGAGTAGCTAGGACTATAGGCTTACACCACCACACCCGGCTAATTTTGGGGGTTATTTTTGTTTTTTTTGAGTTGGAGGCTCACTCTGTCACCCAGACTGGGCTCTGGTGATCCTTCCGCCTCAGCCTTCCAAGTAACTGGAACTACAGGCGCGCGCTACCACACCCAGCTAGTTTTTGATATATTGTAGAGACGAGGTCTCGCCAAGTTGCCCAGGCAGGTTTCAAACCCACAGGCTCAGGCAGTCCATTTGCCTAGGCCTCCCAAAGTACTGGGATTACAGGCTGAGCCACCGAGCCCGGTCTGGCTAATTTTTTGAATTTTTTATAGAGACGGGGACTCACTATGTTGCCTTGGGTAGTCTTGAACTCCTGGCCTCAAGCTGTCCTCCCATCTCAGCCTCCCAAAGTATTAGGATTACAGGCATGAACCACCAATGCCTGGTCAGACTCTATTTTTTAGAATGGTTTTAGATTTACAGAAAAAAATGGAAAGATAGTACAGAAAGTTTTCATATACTTGCACCCAGTTTCCTCTGTTATTAACATCTTACATTAGTATAGTACATACTACTTACATTAGTACGACCTCTCAGTAACATTGATTACTGAGTTCTTCTCATTACCTTCTGCTCAGTCTTCTTCATTTTTGAAAAATTTAATAAAACCAGATATTATAATTTTAAGAGTGCAAATAGCATTTGTTTCTGCATTCCGTCTTTCAGAAGTTTCTACAATGACTAAATCTCATTGTTGGAAGTTTAGTAATGTGAGGGAAGCATAGAGAAATTGTCATTAACCAATATGATACATTAGCCTTTACTTAGTCTTTTTCTGTTCCAGGATCCCCTCCAGAAACCACGTTACATTTAATGTCTCCTTAGGCTCCTCTTAGCTGTGACAGTTTCTTACCCTTTTCCTGTTTTTTGCTTTTTTTTTTTTTTAATTTGGAATCTCACTCTGTTGCCCAGGCTGGAGTGCAGTGGCACTCTCATGGTGTCAACCTGCTGGGCTCCGTCGATCCTTCCGCTTCAACCTTCCAAGTAGCTGGAACTACAGGCAGGCGCTACCATGCCTGGCTAATTTTTTATGTATTGTAGAGACGAGGTCTTGCCAAGTTGCCCAGGCTGGTCTCGAGTCCGCGAGCTCCCAAAGCGCTGGGATTACAGGCTGAGCCACTGAGTCTGGCCATGTTTTTTGCTTTTTGAGTCTGAGTCTCAGTGTCATCCAGGCTGGAGTGCAGTGGCACTCCTGGACTCAGGTGATTCTCCTGCCTCAGCCTCCTGAGTAGCTGGGACTACGGGCACATGCCACTGCACCTCGCTAATTTTTGTTATTTGTTTGTGGAGATGAGTACTTGCTATGTTGTCCAGGCTGGTCGTAAACTCATGACCTCAAGCGATTCTCCTGCCTTGGCCTCCCAAAGTGCTAGGATTACAGGCGTGAGCCATCACACCCAGCCAGCATTTCTTTATTTTTGATGACCTTGATGCTTTTGATACTAACTTTTAAAATACCATATATCCCTGAGAAACAAGGGAGAGCATAGTCAGAACCATACCTCCACACATCCTGGTATTCTTTCTAGAGTTTACTGGTTAATTTAGCACTAAATTGAAAATATAATTCTAGGAGAAACTTTTCTCAGAATAGACCTAATACTAAACTCTGTATGTTGATTAATAGGAAAGTCTTGATTTTTGTCAAAGGATTGTGAAACCTGAACTAGGAAGTTTGTCTCTTTTGTCCAAAGAAATATAAAGACCGAATAGATTGATCAGTACCACCTGTCCTCAACCCCTCCCCCAAGTGGATTGGGTTGTTTTAGTTGCTTGGTTGGGCTGTTCACTAACAGCTGCTTGCTGAATATTTTTAAGTCTCTCTGTTCTTTTAGAACACAAACCTAATTTATCTGGCCTCTCAGTAAGACCATGATTACTGAGTTCTTGTTGTTGCCTTCTGCTCAGTCTTTTTCATTTTTGAAAAATTAATAAAATCAAATACTGTAATTTTAAGAGTGCAATTAGCATCTGTTTTTGCATTCCATCTTTCTGAAGTTTGTACAATGATTAAATTAATCTCGTTTTTTGGAAGTTTAGTAATGTGAGGAAAGCATGTAGAAAAAAATTGTCATGCTGATGAGTCTAAGTCCCTCCCTTTTCATTTCTTGCCTCACATGCTCCAAACTGAGACTGTGTAAAGTAATGTGACTTTTTCAGCAAATATTCTAGTGTGGCTATGTCCAAATGAGTTAATCCCTTAAGGGAGTTCTCAGTGAAAACTGCCTTTGCCAGAATTCTGATTTGGATTGCCTTTTTAAAAATCTTTTGGCACATTATTTTGACTGCTCTCAATTTTGGTAAATTTTTATTGTTTGGGGAGTAATGACATTTAGAAACTTTCACGAGTTACTTAGCAAAGTAAGAGGAATAAGATGGCAGGATGAAGTGGGATAATGTCATTTTTTTTGACATATCTCAGATGTGAAGTAATGAGACTGATTTTCTTATATGACAATAAGCTGTCCTTCAAGACTTTCCAAAAGAAGCATTCCAGAAAAATATTTTGAAGGGTGAGAACTTCAGTAGAATAAGAGTATGGCTTCCCAAGGTGAATAAATACTTATATTCTGAAGGAGAAGATTCATATGCTCATTTTAGCTTATTGAAACAATTTCAGTGCTTGATATCAGCCTTCAGTGCTTCATAATTTCCTGCAGAACCAAATATACATACATACACAGATATTTATACATACACATACAGATGCCTAGTCCCATGTCTCATTCTTAACTGAATCCCCATCTCAGAAATTTGGGTTCAGGTGAGTATATTTTGAACAATTATACCATAACATTTCAGAAAGCACCAAAAGTTGAGGACTATTACTTTAACTTATATTTCATATACTCCTTTAAGTATTTTTATAAACTTTGTTTTTTAAGTAGGAGAATATACTTGCCTCTGAAAAGAAGCATTTGTGTTATCTTGGAAACAAAAAGTTCTTTTTTTTTTTTTTCTTGAGTTGGAGTCTCACTCGGTCGCCCAGACTAGAGTGAATTGACTGCTCCCGGCCACCGCAGCCTCGCCTGCTGGGCTCTGGCAATCCTTCCAAGTAGCCGGAATTACAGGCATGTGCTACCATGCCCGGCTGATTTTTTGATTTATCGTAAAGATGAGGTCTCACTGCCCAGGTGGGTCTCGAACCTGTGGGCTCAGGCAATCTACTCACCTCAGCCTCCCAAAGGCGCGGGATTACAGGCTGAGCCACCGAGCCCGGCTTATACCATTTTTTTGTACACAAATTATTACCTCTATTGGTCTCCCCCACTAGAATGGAAATTCAATACTGAGAAGGATCATGTCTATTTTACTCAATCCAGTATCCACATGACAGTGCCTAGCCCATGGTAGACACTCAAGAATGAATGAATGGATTAAGAATAAATATGTAAGGTTTAATAGGCCCTGATTTAAAGAGCCCTGAACCTGAATTTGTCCTAATGATTTTGAAATGTAGTGCTATATATTGCAAAAAATATTCATTGAGCTGTGACTTAGTGCACTAAACAGAGTCAAGTGACTTAGACAAAAAAAATCCCAACTCTGCCATTAACTAAGTTAGTACTGACCTTAAACTAGTCACTTAACCTCTTCTGTTTCCTCATTTGTCAGAAGAGATGGTTAATCAAAAGGATCTCTGGAGTTCTTTTTGTTTCTGAAAGATTCTGTGATTGTAAGAACTTGATATTATGCCATATGTAGTAGATGATTCCAAAAGAAGCCTCCTTTAAAAAGTAATAAATATTGTGGTTGTAGGATTCATTTTTAGTTGTTTAGATGTATAGTTCACCAATAAATTAGGTGACTTACTTAATTTCAAGTGAATTCCAAAGTCTAGAACCTCATGCCCAAGGATAAGAATAAACATTCAGTAGGAATGTTCAATAGGAAGTTTCCCTTTTTTGAAACCAGCTCCTTCCCTGCTCTGAAAGAAGGGAATATTTTTGTAACTATGAATTGGTCAACTTGTCCTATGTGGCAGGATATTTTGTTGTGCTAACTGACTAGGAAAACACAAAGTTAGGAGAGTATGGAAAGAGAAAAAAACAAAAGATTGTGAACTTTTAAACAGTATTTAAATCCTCTTTACTTTTGACCCAGCACTTAGAACAAGAGAAGCATGAACTGAGAAGACGATTTGAGAACCGAGAAGGGGAATGGGAAGGCCGAGTGTCAGAGCTGGAGAGTGATGTGAAACAGCTACAGGATGAATTGGAGAGGCAGCAGGTTCATCTGCGGGAAGCAGATCGAGAAAAAACACGGGCTGTCCAGGAACTATCAGAACAGAACCAAAGGTTATTGGATCAACTCAGCAGGGTGAGTCACAAGTTAAGCATGTATGGTGTAAAATACTAAAAGTTGAAACAGAGCTTCTGTGTAATATCAGTCATATATACAGTAAGCAGTTCTGATTATTTTATGCCTTTGATTTTGATATCCACAAGTTAAGTATCTTGCATCTACAAAGAACTTAAGCGGTACTGAAGTAGGAGTCAGGAGACAAGACTCATGTCTGTGATTAACCAGCCATCAGCTTTGACAGTCACTTAACTTAGAAGTTTTCTCATTTTTAAAATGAAGGAGTTGGCCGGGTACGATGGTTCATGCCTGTAATCCCAGCACTTTGGGAGGCTGAGGCAGGAGAATTGCTTGAGCCCAGGAGTTTGAGACCAGCCTAGTCAGCATAGTAAGACCTCGTCTCTACAAAAAGTGGGGAAAAAAATTTAGGCTGAGCATGGTGGCTTACTGCTTGTAATCCCAGCTACTCAGGAGGCTGAGGCAGAAGGATCGCCTGAGCCTAGGAGGGCGAGACTGTGGTAAGCTGTGAGCATTCCACTACACTCCAGCCTGGGTGACAGAGTGAGACCTCAACTCAAAAAATAAAATAATTAGCTAATTAGCCAGGTATGGTGGTACACACCTATAGTCCCAGCTACTCTGGGGAGACTGAGATGGAAGGATCACTTGAGTCCATGAGGTCAAAGCTGCACTGAGCCGTGATGGTGCCATTGCGCTCTAGCCTGGGCAACAGAATGAGACCCCAACTCTAAAATAAAATAAAATGAAGGAGTTGTGCTTAACATTCATTACAGCTTTAAAAATCTATGCTTCCTTTGCCTAGAGAAATTTTATCACTGATAACATTATGTTAATTCATTTACTTCAAATATTAGAAGGTGCCATTTTTTTTTTTGATTTGGAGTCTCACTCTGTCGCGCAGACTAGAGTGCAGTGGCCACCGCAGCCTCGACCTACTGGGCTCCAGCGATCCTTCCGCCTCAGCCTTCAAGTAGCCGGAATTACAGGCATGCTCTACCACGCCCGGCTGATTTTTTGATTTATTGTAGAGATGAGGTCTCGCTGCCCAGGCAGGTCTCGAACCTGCGGGCTCAGGCAATCCATTCACCTCAGTCTCCCAAAGGCATGGGATTACAGGCTGAGCCATCGAGCCCGGCTAGAAGGTGCCATTTTTAAACTTTTTAAGCTTAGGGAAAATTTCTAGAGCAAAGGATTTTTATTAGTCTTGCATTTGTACATTCTTTAACATTATTTAGCTTTGAAAGGAAATATGTGTGTCTGTATTTAAGTTTTGTTGTATTTTCACATTAAGTAAAAAGTCTCTACTTGTATCTTTATAAGGTGATATTATCAAAATATTCACCAATTAACCAAGGTCAAGGCTGTAAAATCATTGCAAAGAAGGAGGTTGAGAACTGAATAGATGGAAATCTAATTTAAATACAGAACACGTATCTTTTTTTTTGAGTTGGAGTCTCACTCTCACCCAGGCTGGAGTGCAGTGGCATGTTCATGCCCACTCCAGCGCCAAATTGCTGGACTCTGGCAGTCCTTCTGCCTCAGCCTTTCAAATAACCAGAACTACAGATGTGCACTACCATGCCCTGCTAATTTTTTATTTATTGTAGAGATGAGGTCTTGCCTAGTTGCCCGGCCTTGTCTTGAACCCGCGGGCTCAGGCAATCCACTCGCCTCGGCCTCCCGAAGTGCTGGGATTACAGGCTGAGCCACTGAGATCGGCCTTTTTTTTAAAAAATCACCCAGCCCGTCCAGAACACATACCTTTTTAACAAATGTAGGAATATTATTAATGCCCTGGTCTGTAAATATACCTACTTTTGAAAATCAAGACCTGAATTTACTATTGTACTTGAGTTCTTACGTGTTGAAAACAAAACTACTAGCCAGGCTCAGTGGCTCAGCCTGTAATCCCAGCGCTTTGGGGGGCTGAGGTGAATGGATTGCCTGAGCCCACGGGTTCGAGACCCGCCTGGGCAACTTGGTGAGACCTCATCTCTACAATAAATCAAAAATTAGCCGGGTGTGGTAGCGCGCGCCTGTAGTTCCAGCTACTTGGAAGACTGAGACGGAAGGATCACTGGAGCCCAGCAGGTCGAGGCTACCGTGGCCGGGAGCTGTCACTGCACTTCAGTCTGGGTGACTAAGTGAGACTCCAACTGAAAAAAAAGAAAAAGAAAAAGAAAACAAAACTACTAACTCTTTAGTTATCAAGAAAAAAGAACTACTCTGATCCCATCCCTAAGCACCACTGTTTTCATGAAGACTGCCACCTTTTCCATGTGTTTGGTGTTACAGTCATGGGGAGAATGTTAAATTCCTGGATCTTCCACTAATTTGATGGGTGACACTATATGAAGTTATTTCACTAGTTGTGTCATAGTTGCTTCTCATAATTTGTGAGACCAATGAAAATCTTCACGTATCACAAGAAAGTGTGAAATAAATGTTACCAGTGGGGGAAGGAAGGAGAGGAAGAAAAGGAGAGGGAAAAAGAAAATGATTCTTAGTAATTTGGAAAATAGTACAGGAAAATATCAGAATATGTGTGAAAGATAAAGATTCAGATGATAGGTAGAGCTAAAGATCTTGCCTGAAAGTTTCCCATCTAGAGAATCCAGTTACGACTTGATTGGGAAGTAGGAATTGGACATTTCTGACTCAGTTCTAAGATCTTTTTCAGCAACTGGGAAAGGAATTTCTATTCTTGTAAAAATTTTTACAGAATGTTGAGTCTTTTCATTCATTATTGATGAAAGATTAACCAGAGGTGCCTGGCTAGATTGATTTATTTGTTCAAAACATTTGAACAGTGTTTCTAATAGAAACTTATGGAATGAATGCAACAAATGAGAAAGATTGAAGGGGGAATTAAGATTTCTTGGGAGGCTAAATTCATGTTACAAAATAACATGAGCAAATGGAGACTCAGCCCTGTAAAAGGCAGGTGACCAAGAAGGTTGGAAAGAGAAAGCAGATCTCAGCATGACATAGTGAAAGCACACACAGCTTGGGATTGACTCCATTTATCATTAAATGGGTCATCTTGTTGGTGTCTTTTCTTTAAAATGGGTGTAAAAATTTATGCCTCATATAAGTATTGTTGAAATGAAAATGAGATAATTTACATTAAGCAGCACATGAAGGTAAGAACTTGTTTCAGTGTTGATGGTTATTTTACAAAGCAGTATCTTTGTAGTTTTCTCTTGCCTAATTTCTGTATAGAAAATCCTGTTAAGCTGCTCCCAAGAGAATGTAGGAGGATAACATTTCCACTAGATCTAGATTTTTGTTATCCTCTCTGGCCTTGAATATAGGCCTTTGGTGAGTTTTGTGGCTTTTTCTTTTCCCTTTTTTAGCAGGACAAGCCCCTGGAGTTTCCATTCGCAGCAAGTTTAGTTTGCATCTTATTATCATTTTATTAACTGGGTATTCAGGAACTAGAGGAGTTAAGTGCTTTGAAATGAATTAAGACTCTCCTAGGACAAGATAGTAGCCAGCTGAGGTAGTAGAAGACTGTGCTTTTCTTACAGCATATATAATGTATCTTTCTAAGCATGGAATGTATAATATGTAAAATATAGTATAATATTTCTGTATTACTTTTGTCCAAAGTCTTTTTACATAAATCTCATTGGCTGTTTTGCCTCCAAGGCTCTTCTTTTTATTTGTAACATCTTTATTGAGATATAATTCACATACTATACAATTTACCTTTCAAAAGTATATACCGTTTGGTGATTTTTAGTATTTTTATTTCAGAGTGGTTGGGTACATGTGAGAATTCGCTACATAAGTAAATTGTGTGCAAGTGAGATTTGGGCTTCTAGCAAGCCCTGTATCCTACTGGTAATGGACATGATACCAAATGCATAGTTGTGTGCCCCTTATTCCCCTATACCCCTCCTACTCCCCCCATCCCTTCCCCATAGTAGCATACTGCCTCAGTTGTTCCCGTCTTTGTATTCACATGCCCAATGTTTAGGACCCGCTTATGAGTGAGACCATGTGGTCAGTTTTTAGTTTCTGTGAGAGTTCATGTAGAATGATGGTCTCCGGCTGCATCCATGTTGATGTTAAGGACATGATTTTGTTCTTTATGGCTATATAGTATTCCATCATGTATATGTACCGTATTTTCTTTATATAGTCCACTTCTAATGGGCATCTGGATTGATTCCATGTTTTTGTTATTGTAATAATGTTGCAGTGAACATACATGTACAGGTGTCTTTTTGGTAGAGCAATTTATGTTCCTCAGGGTATATTCCCAGAAGTAAATTGCTGGATCATATGGTAGCTCAATTTTTGTTTCTCTGAGAAAATGCCACACGACTTTCATAAAGGTTGAACTAGCGTACATTCCTGCCAACAGTATAGCAGCATTTCCTTTTCTCCACAGCCTCAACAACACCTCTTGTTTTTTGACTTTTTAATGATAGCCATCCTGACCGGTGTAAGGTGATATCTCATTGTAGTTTTGAATTGCATTTTTGATGATTAATGAAGCTGGGCATTTTTTTCATGTTTGTTGGCTGCTTGGATATCTTCCTTTGAGAAGTTTCTGCTCTTCTCCTTTGTCCACTTTTTAATGGGGTTCTTTGTTTCTTTCCTGTTGATTCGTTTGAGTCCCTTGTAGATTCTGGATATTAGGCCTTTGTTGGATGCATAGCTTGCAGATATTTTTACCCATTCTATGGGTTGTCTCTTTATTCTCTTGATGGTTTCTTTTGCTGTGCAAAAGCTTTCTAGCTTGATAAGGTCCCACCTGTCACGCTTAGCTTTTGCTGCATTTGCTTTTGAGGACTTGACCATGAATTTGTTGCCTATTCCGATGTCCATGAGAGTGTTCCCTAAGTTTTCTTCTAAGATTCTTATAGTTCGAGGTTTCTCATTTAATTCTTTGATCCATTCTGAGTTAATTTTGTATATGGTGATAGGTAGGGGGTCTAGTTTTGTTCTTCTGCATGTGGTTAGTCAGTTTTCCAAGCACTGTTTGC